ACTTAATTGATTGGGGCAAGACCTGGGTGGTCTGAAGGTGGTCTCCGACGGGTGGGTGGAGTTGATACTTGACAGGCCTGAGCCCTGTGAAATATTAGTTCAGGTATTGAGGTCGCAGAAACCTCCCACAACCTCTAAATAAGCTGTAAATTAATTTAAAAAAAATTTATTTGGTACTGGGGATTGAACTCAGAGGTTCTCAACCAGTGAGCCACATCCCCGCCCTTGACAAGGTCTCACTGAGTTGCTTAGTGCCTCATTGGTGCTAAGGCTGGCTTTGAACTTGTCATCCTCCTGCCTCAGCCTCCTGAGCCACTGGAATTACAGGTGTGTGCCACTGTACCTGGCTAAGAAATCAACTTTGACTTGCAACCTGCCTAACTCACTTTACTGACCCTATCTGGCTCTGATCAGTCTCGCGCAGTCCTGAGTCATTTTTCGGTAACAGCACATCTTTTCTGTAACAGTTCTGGGCCTGGCTCAGAAACTCTCAGAGATGAACAGTGATGACCCGCTTTACAGCTGCCGCACATCTCGCTGACCTCTTAGTTACCAGCTGCCCTGAGAAACAATGTACTTGCTGAGGCTGGGAAGCCATGTCACCCTTGGTCGCTGGCTTCCCTCATCTGTAAAACGGGTGTGTTAAGCAATAGGTAGCTCATAGGGACGTGATGGGGACTGAATGCTTTAATGCCTGATAAATCCCCTGAAACAGCTCTTGATGTGAGTAAATGCTCCATACACATTACTCTCAATCATTAAATATTGACTGAGCGCCTTCTTTATGTCAAATATAATAAGGCCCCGGGGATACAGCACTTAGCAGAATCGCCTATATAATCGAACTTGCGAGAACCATCGGATTGTTTAAGTGAAACCATGTGGAAGATGTGGCAGAGGAGGACACAAGCTCCCTGTCCCTCCCCCCACTCCCGTTTATTCCTGTGATAAGGTAGTCAGTCTCCTTCCTTCACAAACGCATCTCCAATACCTAGGAAGGACCTGGCCCTCTGTTAACTGGGTGAGTGAATATGAGTGAATGAATGAATGAAGCGCTATTTTAGCTGCCCCTTGGGAGATGAAGTGTTAATGGCGTGGAAGTGGGGAGAGAAGGGGGAAGGGAGAGTAAGTGTGGTATCAGCACATCTCTGCAGGGGACCAGCCAGGGGACCTTGAGAAGTTACTCTTCAGCCTAGGCCCTTTTCACAATGGTTAAAATAGGAACAAATAACACCTTCCACGTGGTGTGTCCCGAGGATTGGAGTGAACCTGAGACACCCAGCACGCACGCACGTGCAGCTCTCAGTATACAAGTTGTCTCTTCCCTCCCCATTCTTGCTGAGGCTGGGAAGTACACTTGACATGTCCTATCATGGGAGGGACATGTGGAGATGGAGAAGGCTCTTGATAGTATTTGCTCAGAACTGCTTGAACCCTTCTCCCTGAGATCTGGCAAAGACCTGCGTACATGCAGGAAAACCCACAGAGGCCCTGTAGGGTGAGTTGGGATTTCTTCCTAAATCTTAAAGGAGCTGTTTTCTTGTGTACAAGGTAGGTCTACAGAGAGTCAAACCTTAACTGACAGCAAAGTCTTGACTTTAGCCATGTCAGAAAACCCCGAGGGGACCTCAGAAACCAAGAGGAGAGAGAGAGAACGCCCCCAGACCATGGAGGAGAGCTGGCCCGGGCCATTCATGCCAAGCTTCTCAGAGTCAGACCCTGAGACCTGATCCCAGCAGCCTCCTGGGAGAGGTGAGGGAAAAAGACGGCGTGTCTGCCTTTTAACTCCTGTGCAAGCTCCTCCCACAGGGCCTGGGCCAATCAGGGTCTTAGCATCTAACCTACCAGAGAGAAACTCCTCCTCCTTGGAAGTTGAGTGGGGTCCAGCAAGAAGCCCAGAGCTCCCCCTACAGGCCAATACCAGTGGTGCACAGGGTTTCTTTTTAGGTTGATTTGGAGCTGGCATCCCCAACCTTAAGGTGAATGCTCAAGGGACACGATAGGACGCGTTCTATGGCACAGGGCAGGGGACTTTTTCTAGGAACCTGATGTCTGACTTGGTCTCTGTCCAGGAATGGAGACAAGGCTGGTTGAGCTGCCGTTCAGGAGCCTTTGGATTCGGTTTGGCAGTTTCCAAGCTCTGCTGTTGTTACTAAGGCAGCACCGTGAGCAGGACAGGTGGCTGCTGGGGTCCTTCTGCTTACTCTGAGCACTGCAGGACACTTCAGGCCAGAGCAGAGTGGACCCAGCCTCTCAAGCCTGGCCGTCCAGAGCTCTGCAAGGGCCAACAATTCATCTCTCTGACCTCAGAGGTTTGCAGAGCCTTGAAAGAAACTGCAGCTCATGAAGACGCAGGGTGACAGAGACACACCGGCAGCAGCTGGGGATTTCCAGGGAGGCCTCTTGAGACAGCTTTTCATGCAACTGGCTTCGTTTTATTTTTAACAACAGCAAAATTCACCCCAGTTACTAGACCATTCTAATCACTAATAGAAGTCCCCAGATGTGCCTCTTTCTGCTTAATCCCTTTTCCACTCCTGACCCTTTTGGATCACTGATCTGTTTCCTGTCCCCTTTCCTGGAACTTCCTATGAACAGACTCATGCATCGCCGGGCCCTCTCGGTTTGACGTCTTCTCTTAGCCTGGCGCTTTGGGGGCTCGTAAAGGCGGTTGCGGGATCTCTAAGACGTTCCTTCTTATTGCAGAGAGGCGTTCCCTTGGGTAGATGTGCCACAATTTATGTTTCCTCTTTGGAGCTATTATGAGCAAAGTGACTCTAAGTCTTCAAATACAGGTTTTGGATCGACACACGTTTTCATTTCACCTGGGTCTAGATTGTCAGGTTGTGTGCCGTAAAGAGTATGTTTAACTTTATGAGAAACAGCCACACTGTTTTCCAAAGGGCCTTGGCCATTCACACATCTTCCCTCCTGTATGAAAATTTCAGTGTGTTTTCTTCTCACTGGTACTCTATCTTTTTTTTTTTTTTATATACTGAGGATTGAACTCAGGGGCACTCGACCACTGAGCCCCATCCCCAGCCCTGTTTTATATTTTATTTAGAGGCAGCGTCTCACTGAGTTGCTTAGTGCCTCACTTTTGCTGAGGCTGGCTTTGAACTCATGATACTCCTGCCTCAGACTGCTGAGCCTCTGGATATCTTGATACTTGTTTTAATTTACTAAACATTTGGCAATTTCAGTAGGTATGTGGACTATTTTTAAAATTTAAAAATAGCAGTTTCCTTAGGAGGACCACTCATCACTTCAACAGCATATAAAATAGTATCTAATTATTGCATCTATTTATTTATTATTGCATCTATTTACTTGCTTCCTCGTTCGCTTTCTGGGTCTGTTACTGGCCTATCTATTTCAAGCACACGTCTCCACCTGCAGAGGGACCTGTGCATTGGCTGAGCTAATGGAGGAAGAGAGAAATAGCTATAGTAAAGACCGGGGTGTCAGATCAGCTCTTGGGGGGCAAACCTAATGCATGTGCTATTGGGCCTTGCACTGTTTCACAGGGAAAGCAACTTTTGCACTGGGTTGGGAGAAAGAAGGAGTTTCGTAGTTAGAACCCTGAGAGAAGTAGAACACCTCTGGAAAGAGCAAGGAGGTGCACAGCCCGAGGCTGATGGGGGTGTGGCTCATTTGGGGGTGAAGGAGTTCTGGGCGCTGAGAACTTAGTTCCATGGCACAGGGCAGGAGGCTTTGTCTAGGAACCTGATGTATGACTCGGTCTCTGTCCAGGAATGGAGACAAGGCTGGTTGAGCTGCCGTTCAGGAGCTATTATTTGCTAGGGTCACAGTAATAATAATGCAGAAACTTCTAGTGCTTGCTATGTGCCAGGTGGATCTAAGATCTCTCGATGAGCTAATCCATTTCTTCTTCCCAACCATCTCACCCTATAATGAGAGTCTGAGCACTATCATTATCTCCATTTTACAGACAAGGAAACAGAAGCAGAAAAAGAGGTTCTGTAACTTGCCCAGAGGCATGAGACTGAGAAGGAGCCAGGCAGTTGATACTCCAAAGTCTGTACCTTTAACCACGGCGCTACACTGCCAGGTTGGAACATGCTCATTAGTTAGGGAAACCTGTAAGCTGCTCTAATAAATAGCCCCACAAACACAGTGACTTCAACAAGACAGAAGCTACATGTTCTCTCAGGCGTCAGCCCAAAGGGACAAAGTCCAAGGCTGAAAGGGTGGCTTTGTCCTTTCCATACGTGGCTCCCAATTTGGGTTCCAGGTGGTCACTTTCAGTTCCCAGGTTTTAGGGAGGAGGAGAGGGGTCAGGGAAGCTCATGCACATCCCTTGGAAGGCAATGAATGACCCAGAAGCACATACATATCCCAGGAGCCAGAACCCAGCTGCTCAGCCTCACCAAGCTGCAAGGGAGGCTGGGAAATGTGGTCCCTAATTGGCTGGCCGTGGCCTCTGCTAAATCTCCAGGTTCTGTTATTAGAGGGAAGGATGGATGTCAGTGGCGACCTAGCAGTGTCTGCCGCAGTTGGCAGACTATTGGTTGGACTTGAACTTTGTTCTGTGGGTGATGAGGAACTGGCAGATGGGCTGTGAGTGGGGAAGGTAGGATTTTGTGCCTAGACACGAGTTTTAGATCACTCCAGCACTTGTTTGGAGAATAAAAGGGAAGGGGGGGAATAGGAAATTAAATCTGGTGCCTGTCACTTTGTTTGGCTGTCTCTGAAGTCCCTGCTACAGGTAGGAGCCAGTCCCTTGGGTTCTTGGGTGGTCCGTTGGAGGCTTTGCAGGCTGAGTGTGTGCTGGGGCGRAGCTGGAGTGGTCAGCTCTTATTCACTCCCTTGGTGACCGTTTGTCCCAGGGATCTCGCTCAGGTCCCAACAGGTGTGACGAATCCAGGGAGGCCCCTTTCCATCCTTGGTGAGTTCTCCAGTGACACTCGGCATAGCGTGGATCCTGGGCTTCCCACACTGACTAGATTCTTTTGGTTGTTGTTTCTCTTGACCCTTAGGATCCCCGGAGCAAGCACAAGTTTAAGATCCACACATACTCCAGCCCCACGTTTTGTGACCACTGTGGGTCCCTGCTGTATGGACTCATCCACCAGGGGATGAAATGTGACAGTAAGTACCTGCTCTCTCAGGCAGCCTCTATGACAGGCAGAGGCAGCGGGAAGGCACATGGGAGAGGGAGACAGAGAAGCCGAGAGGCAGCGAGACATGGAGGGAGAGGAAGAGACCGACGCAGGGGCAGAGACGGACAGACCCGCGCCCTGGTGCAGCTGAGGGGGCCAGGGGCACAGAGGAGCAGGGATCAGAGCCAAGGGAGATGCACAGATGCAGGGACAGAGGGACAGAGATGGCGCAGACTCAGGGAGGGCTGCAGAGACACCCGCTGGACAGCCGGGGCCCCCAGCGAGACGCAGGCGAAGGCCACCCTGGTGCGCTCTGCCCCAGGAGACGTTCCTGACGTCACCGCGCCCTGGACCCCTGGACCCCCTGGACGTGGGGCTGATGCTCCGGGCAGGTCCCGGGGCTCACTTCCTTCTCCCCGAAAAATTGCCTTCCTCGTTTGGCAACCTTCCCGCGGTGCCGGGGCTTGGGCTGGCTGGGAACGGGGTCCTCTGCACCTGCGGCTCCCTGGGGTCTCCCGAGATGCGGCCTGGGGCGACTCCGCCCCGCCCCAGAGGACTCGGTCACCGTCCTGCAGCGGCCCCTGCTGCACAGACTTAGGGAACTCCCCCCACCACACCGGAGCCGACAGGGATGACACCGTGGAGGACGCGGAAGGGGACATTTGAGGGTCACAGGATGCATGAGATGGTGAGGGGCCACATCAGCTGATCGGCGTGTTTCGTCCCTCTTCCTCTGGGTCTTCCCACTTTTCTGGTCGCGGTGGTCTGCCTAGACGCCCTCTTCAGATCCCTCCTCCCCCACCCTGGGGGACCACCCGGGTGACGCCCTCCGGGGCAGTGGTGGTCACAGTGATGATTCACGGCCGTGCCAGGGTGGCACCAAGACCCGGGCCTCTGCCCTCAGTTTGGGACAACTCTGAAGGTGGGGACTGGGGAGAGGGTGGGAGAGGCCTTTGGGTGAGATCTTGGCAGGGCCCGCTGCTCACCGCCTCCAAGGAAGAGGAGCAGGAAGGCCCAGCGGCCCCAGAGGGAGGGGGCAGATGTCGGGGTCCCCGCCCGGGCCAGCCTGAGCCGTGCCCTCTCTCTCTGCCTTCGCAGCCTGCATGATGAATGTCCACAAGCGCTGTGTCATGAACGTCCCCAGCCTCTGTGGCACCGACCACACGGAGCGCCGTGGCCGCATCTACATCCAGGCCCACATTGACAGGGAGATCCTCATCGTCGTCGGTAGGTGGCCCTGGGGCTTCTGCAGAAGCCCCCCCCCCCCCCCCCCCCCCCCCCCCGTCCTGGCCCAGCTTGACCTGGGTGTTTGAAGAGGGAGGATGGTGGGTGGTCGGGTGGTCAGAGGGGCTGGAGGGTTGTGATGCCCCCTATACCTGGCAGCGGGTGTCCTTAGAAACTGTAAGCCCTCAAAACTATGATCCAAGCCCCTCTGGGGCCTTGAGCTCAGAGGGGGCCACCTGAGCCCCCTGGACTTCTGACTTTATTTTTAAAACTTTTTAATTGACACATAATAACGCTGTGTATTCCTGGAATACAGTGTAATATTTTGACACATGTGTACAATGTGTAATGATCAAATCAAAGCAATTAGCATATCCATCACCTGAAATTTTCTCTGTGTTGGGTACATTCCAGCGGCTTGTAGCTTTCACAGGATTCTCCAGTACCTTTCTATCCCTCTTTCCCATTCTTTCTCTCAATAACTTAGAGTGCAATTCTATTTCCTTTATTCAGGTAGTAGATAGAGAAGGGATGCTTGGTTCTTCCCCAAGCATTTCCAGCCCAGGCGGTGGGAGTGGGGGACCATAGTCTTGATGTTTGACACCAAATTTCAGAGACTGCTATGTCTTGGAGAGGAGGAGGTAGGAGGTGTGAAATCCAGGACACTCCCCGGGCTTTCCATATAATTTAAATGTTTTTCTTTAACCCAGTGGAGGTCCTTCTAGTGGTCTCCGTTATGCTATTCTGGATACTTTTTGCCTGTTTAAAATACTTAATAGGAAAGAAGGAAATACAATGTAGGGGAGAGGTCAGAGACCAGGCGAAGAAAAAGGGTTTTGTCTGCTGCTCACAAGGTCAGCCCTCAAGACAGACTTGGCTCATGCAAAATTGGAACTCTGCTTTGCTGGCCTGGCGGGTGCTCAGCCATAAGCCATGGTAAAACCAGAGCAGATGGAACTAAAACTTTGCAGGAATTCTCTCTTGTAGGCTTGCGACACAAACTGCTGTAGACTTTATATAACTAATTAATATAAACAAGATTTTATGAATCGGTAACTTAGAATATTAGTCATGGAAGGCAGTGGTGTTTTGCAAAAATTGGTTTGTTTCTGAGGTCCCAGAATGGTTCTGTAGCTCTGATGTGCTGAGCCCAGGGTTGGGAAGGGCTTTACTTAAACCATATGAAAGTCGAAAAAATATCCTGGTGAAATACAACTCCTCTTTTAAATTGCAGTTTGTAAAGGCCAGTAAGCTTTTAGACAACGTGTGAGAAAAGAAAGAATCTGCTTGGCCTCCCAGGAGGATGCTAGGGGGGCCCAGGGGGAAATCCTGCATCTGCAGGACCCAGGAAAACAGTCCCCGTCCCTCACTGTCTAAACCACCTGGTACCCAAGGTTCAAAAAATGAAGCTCTTCTTCCCTCTAGTGTCAATATCTGGGAACTACAGCAACTCAAATATTTGCTGCAGATAGAAATCACAAATCCTTTCATGTTCTCTTTTCCAATCCCACAACAACGTTGAAAGATATCTGTCTACTCTGTCAACTTTATAAATAAAGCATCCAAGGCTCAGATAAGTTATACTGCCAAGAGCTCACACCATTGGTAATAATAAAACAACAGCTAACGTTTATTAACGTGTCCATCATTAATGCAGAGCACTTAGAGGCAGTGTCTTGTTTAAATTTTTCAGCAGCTCTAATGAGGAAAGCGTTTTTATTCTCCCCAGTAGGAGGTGGGCTTAGAGAGTCACAAACGCATTCTCGCCCAGGCCTCTTTGGCTCTTACCTACTGTACTCTACACTAAGTTACTCTTCACCTCATTTTTGTTCCTTGAATCCCTTCCCCACCCCCCCCCCACCTTATTGGTTCTCTTTGTGGTTTAGGTAGAGTACTCTGATGGACCSTCTTTGGGGAGTCTTTGTTCTGATAGGGGGATTCAAGTTCTTTTCAAGTTTAAGGTCAATGTCTGCCCCTTAATCATAGATACGCCATGGGCTCCTCTGGACCAGGCCCTGCAGCACTGAGGAAGTCCTGCTTGGGGACAAGGGGACTGGTCTGTCACCCTCTAGGTCAGGCAGTGCTATGAGATGACCGTGTCTCCAAAACCCACATATTGAAGCCCTGACCCCCAATGTGGTGGTATTTGGAGGTCATTAGGGAGCTAGTTAGGGTTAGATGAGGTCATGAGAGAAGGGGGGAGAGAGAGAGAGAGAGAGAGAGAGAGAGAGAGAGAGAGAGAGATCACTCTCTCTTCCATGTGAGGCTGGTCCCCATGACAAGCTGAGAGGTGGGTCCTTGCAGGAATCGAATCTACCTGCGCCTTGGTCTTGGACTTCCCAGGCTGCAGAACGGTGAGACTTAAGTGCCTGTTGTTTAAATCACCCGGTCTCTGGTGCTTTGTCATAGCAGCCCAAGCCGACTAAGGTGACCTTTGTGACAGGCTGCTGGGGACCGTAGAGGAAGCTTCCTGGTTACCTGGCTACTGTGCAGCTGAGGGTCATTATCTGGACACAGGGACAATCACAGCAGCTAGGGAGATGGGCGCATGACTAGAGCCAAGGGGAACTGGGCAGGGTCCAGTCACATCCAGGACACCAGGGCACCCCCCTCCCAGGTCTCCTTCTGATGTCATTGTTAGACACTAGGCGCCCCCTCCTCGATCTTGGCCCACAGATCAGCAAGGAGAGAGAGAGAGAGAGAGAGAAAGATAACTTTGGACCCTTCCCAGCACAGAGGTGGCCTTGTGGTGTGTGTTGAATTGAGCACCTCACCTCACCGGGACCCCAGAAGCAGGTGCCGTGTTAGGACTTCTCACTCACCACCGGCCCCCAGAATGTCCCTTGTGTTATCTTGGGAAATCCCAGCATCTCCAGGGGTCAAAGGGTTTCCAAGCCCCTGGCTACTGAGACCCTGCTGGTAGGTCTGCCCCCGGGTTTCTTCCAGGTCACGATCAGAATGGAAGTGGAGTCGGAGCCTCTTCTTTTAAACACCCGTCCRTGGCCTCTTACGGTCTTCAGGACAGACTGAATCTGTCCTGATGGTCTTAGTCTCTCTCTTGAGGCCTTTCCATCTGTGCACCGTTCTCTCTCTCTTTCTCTCTCTCTCTGGCTCTCTGCTCCTCTCCCCTCATCTCTTCCTCTTCTTCTGGAGCTCAGCTCATTTGCAGGTATCCAGACCCACCTTGTGCTGGGAGTGGTTTTATGCCGGGTTCTGTCCCCAGCCACCTCCCCACAGAGTGCTGGCTCCATGCGGGTGGACCGAGTTTCTTTGTCTCCCCACTGATCCCCAGCAYCTGCTGCGGTGGGCACCTCCAACATCTGTGGGCTCAGTTCAGCACTGTGACGCGGCAGATGGCTCAGAAAACCTACCAAGTCCATTTTGGAGAGTGTTTATTTAGCTGGCCAGCCGGGAACTGCTCCCYGCAGGACCCAGAACTGTCTGTGCAAGGAACAGCCCTGAGCCTGAGCACTTYGAGGTCTCTAAAGGCAGAAACCACATCCAGGTTGATGTCGCTCCAAGCAGGGGGACAGAAGCTGAACCAAGYAGTTACTGAGACCATGCGACGGGTACATTGGTATTTCCCCCCAGGACGTTCCAGGTTGGCTTAGCGGCAAGCAAGCAGAAGGGAAGTGGGTCAAAATGACCCTAGCTGAGTGCAAGTTGGAGAAYKGTTACCAACGTCTAGACARTCCATCTCTGCCAGGGTACACTGCCCCAGAAGAATGGGAACCAAAGAGAACAATTTTACACCATGTAAGAATTGCCCTTTGGTGCTGCCCAACGTGCTACGCTAAGCAATTACCCATAGGTACGGAGGCGGGTGCTCCCATGGGAGAAGCCAGTCTCGTATGACAGGGAGTCTCAGGGTAGAGTGGAGTCTGGTTGGTCATTGCCCACCTAGCCGGGCCCATAACAATACCCTTCTGTTTTCATCAGCTTTTTTATTGCTGCAACTATAAGGATCTCACCAGAACAATTTTAAAGGAGGAAAAGTTTATTTGAGGGCTTCAAGGTTTCAAAGGTCTTAGTCCAAGGAAGGCCGGCTCCATGGCTGGGCTCCAGGGGAGGCAGGACATCATGGCGAAAGAGAGAGGTGGAGGGAAGCAGCTCACATGGTGATCCGGAAGCAGAGASACAGACTCCACTCTCCAGATACAAATATAGACCCCACAGCCACGCCCCCAGTGAACCACTTCCTCCAGCCACACCCTACCTGCCTCCTGTCAGCACCCAGTTCATGCCACCAGGGACTAATGCACTGATTAGGTTAAGGCTCTGACCCAATCATTTCTCCTCCAAACCCTCTTGCCTTGTCTCACATGTGAGCTTTGGGGTACACCTCACATCCACACCATAACACTTATCAACATAACAATGGCTACCCCTTTGTTTATATTCCCATGTACATCACAACCATATTCTTAGCCGTCAAAAGTCATAGTCATGAATTCATACCCACCTTTGCCTCTATGATTATATCTCCCAAAGTGGGGGCTGATTCTTTTTTGGCAGAGAGGTACTGGGGTTTGAACCCAAGGGCATTTTTCCCACTGAACTAGATCCCGAGTCCTTTTTATTTCAAGACAGGGTCTCACTAAGTTGCTGAGGGTCTTGCTAAATTGCTGAGGTTGGCCTCAAACTTGCAATCCTCCTGCCTCAGCCTCCTGAGTCGCTGGGGTGACAGATGTATACTAAAACCCCCAGCTGAGATGATTCTTAAAAAAAACAAAAGGAATTTTTTTTGGATGTTTCTCTTTAGGATTCCAAATCAGTGTTCTGAGTATTGCACATTGTACTGTGATATACGTAACTCCCAGGCAGACTGAGGCACTTCCAAAATGTGGTAGTAAAATCCATCCCAAGATCTGACATCCACACATCAAAAGAGGAACAGCATCAAAGAGGAGAAAATTCTTAACAGGTTATTGGAGAAAGTTGAGGGTCACCTCCACCAACTCTCTAGATTCCAAAAGAGGCCTTAACAGCACTCTCAGGAAAAA